CCCCGTCCCGTCAAGCCACACTGGTAAAACGAGTGTGAACATTTTTATTCATAGCTTACTGAGTTCTGTGTACGTGCTCGACTTACGCATATTTTAGTACGCCAGTACGAACAAATTTGTTCATACTGGTGTATTAAAAAAAATTTCATAAGATTTTAGTGTGCAACGTGTGCAAGTTATGATTCTGCACATTACACGGTGTTTAACTCAAGTTGCACACTTGCGTGGTGTGCATATTTTAGATGTTTTGTAAACGTGCACACTTGGACACACACTGATCTGTGCTATCAATAGGAACCATGTGGATTGCAGCTGCTATTATTTTCGGAAAGTGTCGAAAGTTTTAAACACCAATCGACGTTTAACCTATTTAACTATAGTTAGACACCACAATGTGTCGAGAAAATGCACACTTGAACCTGAACATCAATTGACGTGCACAATGAAACACTTGTTTTACCAGTGCACGCCATGGCGTCGCCATGCCCGCTGCCTCATCCACTACCGCTGCTCGTAAAACGAATGGTCGGTCCGCGGCGCCGCGGCGCACGCGCCCGCAGACGGCACCACATCATAATATTCCCGACAGCCCGCCACACCTACTCTTCGACCTCTCCTCCTCCTCCTCCTCCCCACGCCCCCACCCCACGTGCCCCGGGAAACGGAACGGCACCCAGGTGGAGCGGTGGAGCTGCCGTTCACAAAGTGAACTCTGTGTCGCCATGCGGCGCGCCGTGCCGCGTCCAAGGCCCGGTAAAGGCCGCGCTAACGAGCTCGTGACTACTGTCGTGTCGCGTTTGTATTCTCCTCGGCGGAGTGCGCGCAGAGCACGGCGCGGCGATAGAAACGGCAGAGGAGCGTCGAGATTATTGTGGTGCGGGAGAGGAGGCGGAGCGAGGCTGGACCCGAGCTGAGCACCCGAGCTCGATCTGTCTCGCGCAGCAGCTGGAGCCGGAGCGGGGCGGGGGCCGACAGGAAATCAGATAAGCAGTCGAACACACACTTCGCGTGGGCAACAGCAGGGCGTAAGTGTGTCCGGCTAGGTCACCACTCAAAGAGAGAGAGAGAGAGAGAGAGAGAGAGAGAGAGAGAGAGAGAGAGAGAG